GGCCTGTTGACTGTTCGCTAGGTAGGCAAACTGAAGGAGGTTCAATAAGATAGATGTGATGTCCTTCAGGGGGTCAAAGCCAGTTTTTCCCAAGGTCTTCATGACCACAGATGTCGGAGCAACAAGCCTGTACTCACTCAGTTGTTTTATGCAAGATGAATTTGGCAATTGGGGTGTGATGGAATTTTCTAGTGATCTTGGTGAAGATGGGAGTTAGTTGATCAGCAAATGCTTTTGGGCAGGATGGTGAGATGCTGTCTGAGCCTGGTTTTTTCTTGGTCCGGAAGAGCGCTCACAGGTCCGCTTCCCAGATCTTCAGTGTAAATTATCCTGACAGTAAAAATTAGATTTGCAGGTACCCCCTGCACTTGCTACAAGTATATTTCCTCTACTCTTTCTCGGTTGACCTTTGTTCTGGGAAAGTTGGTGCTGCCATCTACTGGACATGTCCAGTGAGTTTCCCTGCACGTGCACAGTAGACGTGCATAGATATGCACTGATACGCATGATCTCCACTACACAGACACCGTCTGTAACAGTCTGGCACAAACCCCTGATGACAAAATTTAACTTGCCCTGTGTGTGACCAAAAGTGTACATGGAAAAGTGAATTATGAAGATGTTGATGTAGGATGTGACGGTGTCCGTGAGCTCACCCAGGTTCAAATGCACTCTAGTCAGTGCAGTCAAACCTAGCCTGTAGCCTCAGCTTTGCCTCACTGGTGTATCTTCTCACATTGACCACAGATTTAGAACATTTACATTTCTGCCTGTAGGTGGGGAGAAGATGAATGGACAGCACAGTAGGTCTGCTTAACACTGTAGCAGTGGTCCAGTGTGTTACTGTCTCTGGTTGGGCTCTTGATGTGCTGTTTGAATTTTAGGCAGTTCTTAGCTCAGGTTTGCTCTGTTCAAGTCACCAAGATGATCGTAAAGGATGTTGGGTATTTCTGCTCCACGCTGGTGATAGATACAGTTACAGTGCCTCACGCACACAGGCTTGCCTTGAGATGTAAACACTGACCAGAATAAAATGTCTCCCGTGGAGAGCTGTGGCTCCTCTAGCTATAATGTGCAGGAAACTTCTGCATTTGTGAGGGATCTGACATAAAAGCTGTCAGAGTTGATTGCCAGATGCACAGCAATGCTTTCCTGGTAAACCTGATGTTACTCGGATTTGATCTGATGGTGTAGATAACACTGGTTTACAGCGTTTTTGTTTCCTTTATAATTTTTGATGTCAGATTGGTGTTGTGATGCTGATTACAGAAATCACATGAGGATTATGAGAAACAGGCAATTTTATTATTTAAAAATGTTTCACAACACAATTTTTTCACAGAACAACAGAGGGGTGTGTGATGCACTTTATGATGTCGATTTAAGAAATGTGCTCAAAGGTGCAAAGGACCGTAAGTCTGTTTTGCCAGAGTTTACAGCCTGTAACATGTTTGGATGTGTTGAGACAGGGTCCTGCTCTTTCTGATATGGAAAAACAATATCAAGGCAAGTATGCTTGCTGACTTCTGCTGGACCCTTAAGAGGAATGTTCCTCAGGCCCAGAACAGCAGGAAATCATACACTCATACCTTGAAGATGAGTCACTTCCATCATGCACCTATACCGTAAATATACATACAGCATAAGGTTTACTTATGTCACTCAAAATCTTTGACTGATGGTAAATTCTATTGAGATATTTTAATTTTGCACAAACAGCGCTGTAAGATTCCCCTATTTTGATTTGTGTAACAAAAAACAAAGTAAAAATGTGTTGCCTGGTGTAAAAAAAACAAAGTACTGGAGTGCACTGAAGTAGGGATGCACCGATACTGATACTGGCATCGGGTATCGGGCCGATACTGCACTCATGTACTGATACTCGTACTCGTAAAAATTGCCTGATACCACTTAATTGCAAGATTACGTTGAAACTCAAAGCTACGGTATTTTTTCAGACTGTAAGGTCTGTTCTGCTAAAGTGACAAAAGGAGGAAGGTACAGCACACCACTGGACCAAACGACGCACCATAGTGCAGAGTACACGGAATTTGCTAATTTGCTAGCAGAGAAAGACTGCAACAACAAACTTTAGCACAAATTATGGAAAAGTGAGAGAAAATGCAACCGAAACATTATTTATATCCAGCATTAAATAAGTTTAGTTAATGTTAGATATAACTAATGGTTCAGGTTCAATCACAAATGTAAGTAAAGAATGATCACGAACGAAGAAAACATACATCTGAGCACCTTGCAGATCTTACTGGACTACGGTTTAAGTGTTTACTTTTTTTCTATTGGCTGGCAGTGGGAGCAATTGGATGGTTTAATATTCAGTTTTATGAAGTTTCACTGGTTTTTCATGTTAGCTTGGGAAGAAGCTTTAATCTAGGGTTGGTTTAAATCCTCCCCCCCGCCACACACACACATACACACACAGAGCGTGGGGCTATCTGCACCTGACTCAGGAACTAAGTGTTTGATGAGAGTTGGTATCAGGTCAGATGTATTTGAGCGCTACAGCGCCCTCGTGTGGAGAGGCTGTGACAGTACAGCTACTTTTTTCAGGCTGTGTGCGTGTCAGAGCTGACTTTGTACTTTCCTCAGATCTTCCTAGAATCTCTGGATCATAATCCACTCTGGCAAACTAAAAAATCAATATAAACTGAAGTTCAGATTTTTAGGGCTTGGAGTAGCAAATGTACATTGGCAGGAATCTGCAGGCATTGGGTGAGGGTATAATCTGGTGCGGGGGTCTTATGGGTCCCCGTTCCTGTACCACCCGAGGGGGCCGTGTGCCTCTGGGCCTGATCGCCTCACAGGTACAGGGTGTCTGGTGCGGGGGGTGGCTCACAGAGGACGTTGGTCTGAGCCTAACCTCTTTTCTGATTCTCGTTATTTCCCCCAGTATTCATTCCTGACACCTGGGTTAGCCTGCGTCAGGAAGGTTTTCCTGTGCCTGCATGGCTCATTTCCCGCCAAAGTGCTCTCCCTGTGCTCTGTCAGCCACAACATTGGTGCCGATGGTGTCTTCATGCACAGGTCTGCTTGGCAGACGGAAAAGGGCGTGACTGACCAGCAGCACACAGGAGCGGTGCGGTCATTGTCCTGCCCCCCTCCCACAGTGTACGTGGCAGTCTGGGTGGGAGGGGTGGGAGGTGATGTCTGTGTTGATTTTGGGAAAAGTCATGGCTGTTCAGACCAATAGCTTTTGCACTTATTTTAACCCAGATGTGCTCCCCCCCACTCTTCCAGGTGTGGTGTGGTGACTTCCTGACATGGGAATCAGTGTCACGGCATGCAGCTGTGGGGGTGTTGGGTCAGTTGAAGTAAGAACAACGTAGCGCTGCCTCTACTCAAACACTGCCCCCCCCCGTTTCGTCCTGAGTGACGTGCAATGTCTGCTTGCTTGTCACCATGGAAACTGTCATACAGCCAGGGATGCTGCTGATCCTGATCTCAGAAAAGGGAAGCTGCTATACACCTCCACACCTGTTGGGGGCGACGTGGTTTCTCAGTGTTTTGTTCTTGCATCTCCTGCTTGTTGGAGTTGACATGGGAAGTTGGGGAACATGAAGGGAGATTTAATTTCCTCCTCTGAGGTGAGGGCCGGCACACTGGAGCCTGTCACACAGATCCTCTGCTAGGTGTGTGACTGGTGACGCAGTTAAGCCTGACAGCTTCAGAAACGTGCGTCATAACATGTTTTAGCAGGAGGTGACAGGGCATGTCTACCCCGTGCTTCCCAGAGTGCTTGTGGGCTGCTTTGATTTGATTCTTCTTTCCAATTTGTCTTTTTATCTGCCCTAATAATAGTTACACATTCAAAAGAAATTGTTAAAATTTGATCATAGGACATCACAGGTCGCAGCAACTCTTCCACATAAACTCTCTGAGATAGGCCAAAGCCACCAGCGAACAAACTAACGCTTCTGTCCAGGTCAAACCCTGCTAGTTCTGTTGGATTAAGGTCTTGATATGGGCAGGTCAGGTCAATAATTCAAGCGGTCTTTCACATTGCCAGTTCTTGCACTCGAGATGAGTTTTGGGTCGTTGTCTTGCTAACGAACGAAAGATCGCCTGATGAGTAATGCCGATAGGATGACACGCCTTTGAAGTACGCTGTGACAGGAATGCTGATTGAGATCGCTATGGATTTGGTGAAGATCAGCCCTGTCACCAGCAAAGCATCCCCAGACCATGATGCTGCTTCCAACATGTTCGACAGAATGTACACACGGAACTTTCCTGCTCATGCCCTCTGTATCTTAGGAAAAACACGACAGCTAGACACGCATAGAATTTTGACTTGGTCCCTAAGACCGACTTCCATTTCCTCTAATAGATAACTTTGGGTAAACATGGATAATTATGGTTTCTCACAGAGGTCCTAATAAAACAGGCTTGCTGTCAGACTGTCTGCCTGCTAAGATCTTCTTGTCCCTGCTGCTTCATTAGCAGCCTAGTCAGGTTAGGTAGCTTCCCACTTTAATTTGCACTGTACGGTCGATTCCGACCCTAAGTAAGTTTTGAGTAAAACGATAAAGCAGACACTGCGCTTTGAGGCAGGGTGGTGAAGGCTGTGTGGAAGGCCCTGTTTGAGGGCGTTAACGGAGCGACTTTGCTTTGATTTCAGCCTTCTCCCTGGAGCCAGGTGACCCTCCACTCTTACAGCAGCAGCTTCAGACGTCCAAGTCTGGGATCCAGCAGATAATTGAATGCTTCCGCTCAGGTAGGCAGGCTTCTCGGCAGTTATCCCATGATTTCATTGGCCATCAGCCCAGTAATTCCACAATGGCGCCCCCTTGTGTTCGGCTCTGCAGGAACGGCGCAGCTAAAGCACATCCTGCTGAGGGAGGTGGACACCATTTTCGAGTGTAAGCTCTGCCGCAGTCTTTTCCGTGGCCTGCCCAACCTCATCACTCACAAGGAGTTCTACTGCTTCCCCAGCATCCTGGACATCAATGGTCAGTTCAGATGTCCTGCTTCCTTCCTTCCACTCCAAATTGGTTCATAAGTCAACTCTGAAGGTCACGATAAGTCTACCTGCCCCCTGTCTTCCCATTGATCTCTGTCCCTACAGACCCGCCTTCAGACAACAAGCAGAGCAAGGCCATCAAGGAGCTTCTAGAGGCCATCTACCCACGGAAGGACCAGCCTGAGTACGTGGTGAGGCTGGAGCCCATTGAGACCAACCAGAATGCAGTCTTCCAGTTCCTGTCCAGGGAGGACAATCAGGAGCCTGAGCCGGAGGCTGCCTGTCCCCCAGCCCCAGAGATCATTGCTGTCCAACCGACGGAGAGCCCACCAGGGGAGGTGGAGGAGCTGGCTGAGCCGGAGGCCCAGGAGGAGCCACCTTGCGAGAAAGAGGAGTCTCTTGCACAAGAGGAGGTGGAGCTGGTGCCTCAGAGGGAAGAAAATCAGGAGGAGGAGGAGGAGGAAGAGGAAGCCATCACCGGTGGGGTGGATGGCGTGAGGATCTCCTGTTGCCTTTGCGGGAAGGAGTTCAATTCACGACGGGGTGTGAGGAGGCATTGCCGCAAGGCGCATGAGAGTAAGCTGGAGGAGCTGCGCAAGTTCACGGAGACTCGCACGCTGCCCCTCAGCCTGCTGTCCATGGTGAAGCGCCGCCCCCGCCGGGCCCCTGGGGCTGCCGGTCGCAGCTGCCCCATGTGCCAAAAGGCATTCGCCACCAAGGCCAACGTGCGGCGCCATTTTGACGAAGTGCACCGTGGCCTCCGGCGTGACACCATCACACCTGACATCGCGACACGGCCCGGCCAACCGCTATCGCTAGACGTGCCCAATACTACCACGCGCCGCCACAAGGTAGCCCCAGAATTCAGCCTCTCGGGCTGCCGCTGCCTGTTGTGCCACAGGAAGTACAGCTCACAGGTCATGCTCAAGCGACATATGCGTATCGTCCACAAGATCCAGAATGGGCCCGGACCCAGCCCCGGAGTCAAGGTGAAGCAAGAGGCTCTGGAACGCAATGACGTCGAGGTCCGGGTACCTCCTGGTGGACCCCCTGTAGCCCCGGAGATGGAGAAGAAGCCAGCAGGCATAAAGAAGAAGCCCAAAAAGGGAGGAGAGGGCCCCAAAGCCCGCAGGACCAAGCTGGCAGTGGGCTTCGACTTTCGGCAGCTCTACTGCAAGCTGTGCAAGCGGCAGTTCACGTCCAGGCAGAACCTGACGAAGCACATTGAGCTGCACACCGATGGCACCGAGATCTACATCAAGTTTTACTGCTGCCCCATCTGCAGCTACGAGTCACGGCGCAAGCGCGATGTCATTCGCCACATCACCGTGGTGCACAAGAAGTCATCTCGCTACTTGGCCAAGATCGTGCCCACGCTGGAGACACGGGCGGTCAAGAAGCCTGCTGAGATGGTGCTGAACAGCGCCACGCGCCGAGGCCCGCACAGGGAGGATGCTGACGGACGACACGATCCTCCCTCGGTGCCTCCTGCCGCTGCCACTTTCCCCGCTGGCCGTAGGCAGGACGACCAGGAGGGCGGCTCCGAGCTGAAGGTCACCAAGAACTTTGTGCTGCACACGTGTGACGTGTGTGGGCGCGCCTTCGCCAAGAAGCTCTACCTGGAGTCACACAAGCGCAGTCACCGCGCCAACAGCGGTCTCACGCCGGGAGACGATGGCCGGGCCAAAGGCCGCAGCACGCGCTCCAAAGCCTTACTCTGGTGAGCGCCCCCTGCAGTCTGATGTGCATGTATGTTAATGTCTCCTGGGAGGTGTGGGTGTCTGTCGATGTTTGACCTTCTACTGTAGATGGAATACGCTCATTCTCCTCTGCCTACTGATAACGTTTGACATCTAATTGACCAATGAAAAGATGTTTTATGAAGTCATATTTACTAGTATTTGTTCGTACTAGTTAACATTTGTATTCATGATGGTCGGGATTAGTTTGTATGTTGTTGACACTGTTGGAGATGCAATGTGGTGTTGGCATCACCGTTTTTAATCAGACTCCAGTTCCGGCCTGCATCGTCCCTGGCAGGTGTGTCGGCACAGGGCAGCCAGAAGACTGCCTGTAGCATCTACTCTGGCCTGGTCTGCAGATTGATTTTTAGCTCAAAAACATGCTGAGGTTTACTAGAGTGACCAAATTGCCTGTTATTTTTGCGTGCGCGAGTGCCCGGTGTGTGTGTGTGTGAGTGCCCGGTGTGTGTGTGTGNAATGAAAAGATGTTTTATGAAGTCATATTTACTAGTATTTGTTCGTACTAGTTAACATTTGTATTCATGATGGTCGGGATTAGTTTGTATGTTGTTGACACTGTTGGAGATGCAATGTGGTGTTGGCATCACCGTTTTTAATCAGACTCCAGTTCCGGCCTGCATCGTCCCTGGCAGGTGTGTCGGCACAGGGCAGCCAGAAGACTGCCTGTAGCATCTACTCTGGCCTGGTCTGCAGATTGATTTTTAGCTCAAAAACATGCTGAGGTTTACTAGAGTTACCAAATTGCCTGTTATTTTTGCGTGCGCAAGTGCCCGGTGTGTGTGTGTGTGAGTGCCCGGTGTGTGTGTGTGTGAGTGCCCCCTGCGATGGGCTGGCGTCCCATCCTGGCTTGTTCCCTGTCTTGTGCCTGTAGCCATGAGCACTGAACCAGCCATGAACAAACCCTGAAGCTTGGTGTAACAGCACCTGGTGTCATCTCTTTCTTTTTCTCCCCCCCCCCCCACAGATCCCCACATGACCCACACTGGATTTCCAAACAGAAGGAAAATATCAGCAAACTAGGAAGCCACTCACCATACAAGAAGGGGATGGATGGAATGTCTGGGACTGAATAAGAGGGGATGGATGACTTCTCGAGTACTGGTTGAATTAATAGGCAGAATCCAGTGTCCTGCGATACAGAAATTGATGAAGTAGCATTCCTGGTGGATCCATGCACTGCACGTCGGATAGAATTATGTCATTTTAACTTTAGAGCTATATGACAACCGGGCTGTAACGTCAACGTTGTGGAATTCTTTTGTAGAGTAAGCATTAGTGCAGTAGTGTCACCCCAGACTCCTGAATGTGTGTGCTGTGTGTATAAATGGTCACGGCTGCGAAAGGGGGGACCAAGCTTGTTAGCATGAGCTTTTATTGGTCAGAAACCCTCGACAGGCCGTGGATCAGCGTGAGTACTCTGAGCCAGTAGTAGAGCAAACACACGGCCTCCCATCTTGACTGGCAGCTCTGTGGTCCAATCTTTTTCCAGAATTGGTTTTCCTTGGCCAATGGCAGAGGCACACAAGCCTGTGTAGGATGTGGTTATGATATGTGTGCCCAGTAGGTGGGAGATATTTTAGTGTGTGGGCAACCTCTGAATTTTGGGATTCCCCACAAGTGCTAAAGGAAGGTATACAGACTGAAATGCATTGCACATGGATTGGACATTGAAACTGTGGGCTTTGAATAGAACTGCAGAAGTGTATGTCATCCAATCAGACACGTGAAAGATTTATTTAACTGTACAAAATCATTATTTTTTTAAAAGAGGGAAATATTCTGGCAGAGGTTTTATTTTGGATTTCAGAAGGTGTTGACCAGGGTCGTTGTGGTCAGAAGTCTATTTATGTGAACTAATATGGCAGCACTTGGTTTGAAGCATCTATATTTTTACCTTCAGATGTTACCCTGTAAATATCATATACCCCCTCAAAAGCTTTACCACTGAGGCTAAGCAGTACTTACCCGGTGACTTTTATGCCTTGTCCACACATACACGGGTATATTTTAAAACGGTGTTTTTCCTCCTTCGTTTAAAAAAAAATCCCCGTCCACACGAACATAGTCTTCAAAAAAAATTAAATTGCGCTGTCAAAAGCATGCAAAAAAAAAACAACAGGCGGCATTATAACTCGAACCGTACTGCCATGGTAGCCAATCAGAAGCCTAATTGCCAGTCCTGTTAAGTAGAAAACCATGGCGCACATTCCAACGCCTGTGTTGATCAGTATAATGCGAGAGTGACTCAACATTTATCTGTACACATGTAAGGAGTCCTGTCAGCAAGGTTAGCACAAGCACTATTTCAGCTAAGTCCACCATTGCTCAAACTCGCCTAATGTATACAGCAAACAGCACACGCTTTGACGTTAAACAAAGTGGACAACGGCACACAATCTGACATTTCGAGCCAAAAACCGTTTTCCATGTCTACATGTCGACGCTGAAAACAGAGTTTCTTAAAATCATCACCCTGGATGGAGTTTTGCAAAAGCTCCGTTTTCAGTGACCAGAGACGCCGTTTACGTGTGGACAAAAGCCCAAGACGTATAGAAAAAGGTACGTTTTAAAATATACCCGTGTACGTGTGGACAAGGCATTAGACTGGGAGTTTTGTGTGACATGCAGGGAGTTAAGGCACGTGTAAGGGAACTCTGTGTGTGTGTGTGTGTGCGCGTGCGTGCGCGCGTGCACGCTGACTCTGCTTGGTCCTGTCTTCATGATATTTGTCTCATCTGTTATTGAAGAATCTGCAGTATTCATTTCCCAGCTTATTCGTGGAAGGGTTAGCCTGTTTCATTTTTATTTTCTCTTTTCGGACAGTGAACTAAAGACACTGTAGATCAGAAACTGCTGGGCCTGTTTTACTAGTTGTGACCTTCCTTAGATCATTGAGCGAGACTTTAATATTCTTTTCTAATTAAATCACATTCCTAATGAATTCCTGTTTAACATGACATGAAACAACCTGGAAATGTTTAAGCAACAAAACACCACTTGGATGTTTCAGTCCTTGCTATGGAAAGAGATCTGTGATTGAACCTTACAGTGAAAATGTAGCTTGATGGTGCCCGGTGAGACTGTTTGAAGAACATGGTATCGTGACCAGACCTCGAGGAAGACATGTTTGGTCACGCTGCTCTCCCTGCAAACCCACATCGCCATTGGCTGGTGGAAGTTCCCTACTGCATTCTCTGGCTGCTATGTAGGTGGAGCATGTTTTAAACACATCAGAAGCACCTTGTTTATTCGCTCCGGTGGTGTTAGGTCGGGTCCACGGTGTTTGAAAACTTCCACTCTTATGTTTAACTGATCTAGATTTCCCCCACATGTACCTTCAGTTCTTATACCATTGGCATCTTTCACTTTTATTTAAAACAGCTTGAGAGACTCCAGTTAGAGCAGAGAAAGTCTAGTCCTTCTGTCCTGTATTACTAAACCAATGTAACTAATGGGAAAGAAGTCATAGATTGTTGCTTGTTACTGTCTAGATGAATGTAATTTGCTGAATGCACTGTTTGTCAATAATAAACTAAAAGGCTGTCAGCTGTGATTTGTCATTCATGACCTTAGAATTTGCTGTTTTGTCTGCTTAGGGCCTGGGTGGGTGATGTGCAGAAGGGCCTGGTTGCCTAAATGGGTGTGAGGTTTGCAGAATGAACGGCCGCTTGTTGATGTTTCAGTGCTGTGAACATTTTATAAGTTTAGTGCAATTTGATTGGAACTCTGTGTTAATGCAGCGTATTCAGCCTCTCATTAGACTGACAGTTATGGGTTTGCTTACATGTGGTTCTCCATCAGGAAGTCTTCAGTTCTCTCATGATTGAATGAGGCTTGTTTTTTTGCATCATAAGCTCTGACTTTGAGTCGTCATTTAAGCCTCCTTTGTGACTGATGTAGTGGTCATAAATACTTCCTGAGTCCTAAACATGGATCCTGATTACATAACTAAACTAAAAATGCTGCGTTACTTGCTGTTTTTAGTAGAGTAGAATGAGCTCAGGCCAGGATTTTAACAAATTCTCTCCGGAAGACTATGATGATTACGATTAGAGTTGTCGCAATTACTCCGTTATTTAAAAGCATCAATTATTTTTTTCCTCGATCACTCAGCACCATCACAGAAGGAAGATTGCACACAGCAGATGGAGCTCCTAATGAAGAGGGGAGAAAGCACCAGTTGTGCACTGGATTACCTCTTCACCCTCACAAGGATACCAGAGGGTTTGTGGGAATTTTCTCAAGCAGTCTACATGTGCTTTGTGGACATGGAAAAAGTATATGATTGTGTTCCCTTGGGGTCCTTTGGGACTATGGGGTATGGGATCCATTGTTGCAGGCCATCAGATCCCTGTACAAATGGAGCGAGAGTCACACTCGTTCCCGGTGGGTGTTGGACTCTGCCAAAGCTGCCCTTTGTCATCAATTCTGTTAACTTTCATAGCCAGAATTTCTAGCCGAAACCAAGGGGGTCCGGTTCGGGAGCCTCAGGATCGCGTCTTTGCTTTTTATTTGCAGTTCATGTGGTCCTGTTGCCATCATTGGGCTGTGACCTGCAGCATACACTGGGGCGGTTTGCAGCTGGGTGCAAGGCAGTCGGGATGAAGATCAGCACCTCCATGTCTGAGGCCATGGTTCTCCACTGGAAAAGGGTGGATTGCCCTCTCCTTGTGGGGGATGAGCTACTTCCTCAAGAGAAGTAGTTCAAGTATCTTGGGGTCCTGCTCACGAGTGAGGAAAGAAGGGAGCATGAGATCGACAGGAGGATTGCGTCTGCAGTAATGTGGACCATTCTGTCGTGGTACAGAGAGGAACTGTTTCGAAAGGCAAAGCTTTTGTAAACATATTGCAGGGGAGTTTGTGCTGGTCGATCTCTGTTCCTACCCTCACCTATGGTCATGAGCTCTGAGTAGTGACCGAAAGAATGAGATCACAGATACAAGCGGCAGAAATAAGTTTCCTCCGCAGGGTGTCTGGTCTCAGCCTTCCTTGTACTTCTCTGTACTTGGCAAATAAAAGATTGATTTATCAAGAGCTTTAAGCATGGACAATGATGAAATAATAATGTGGATGTAAATGTAAACCAATTTTTGAAAAACCGGTTTTATTTGAAACAAACTTACACCTGCATCACTCAGTATTTCTTTTTTGCTCCAATGTAATGTGTGCAAACCCTAACTGGAACAATCGCTGTATGTAACATTCTTATCTACCAACCCAACAAGTTCTGATCAGATGTCTTTTTGTGTTTTTACATGCGGTGTTAAAATTAAAATATCATCAAACATGTAACAAATAAGTCCTCGCAAGTTTACTAGAAATATTGGTAAAATTTTACTTAAAGCAGTCATATAAATGCATTATACCCTCGTAAAGCATTACAGTGGTACCTCAGAACTCGAGTTTAATCCGTTAAGAACTCCGGATCGAATCCTAAAAAGTTCGAGTTGTGATCTAATTTTCCCCATAAGAAATAATGGAAAACCAATTAATTGGTTCCCGGCCCCCAAAAAATTACACCTAAATGTTTTTTTTTTTTTTTTAGCATTTAAACACAAAATGAACCGGATAAAACAACAGCATATACTGTACTAAACACATTTATCAAAACAGTAATTTGTAAAGCTCCTTCCGTGTGCCACGCCCCCTCGTTAACCCCGTGTGGAATCCTCATGTGATCAGCTGTTTCTGGTTGTTGTCATTAGTCCTCTGTATTAGTCCATGTTTCAGTTTGTTTCCCCAGTCCAGTTATTGTATTGTCCGTCTGCATTTTGCCTGCCTTACCTGTAATTAAACCCCGTATTCCACAATACCCTGACGTCTGCGCCTTTGTCTCCGTTCCGTCCCGGCTTGTCACAATATTATTACAATTAAATGTATTAATGGTTTATTATTAATATTAAATTAATTAGAAACCTTTATTTTTAAATGTATTTTATAATATAATAATTACTGTTACTGTCATTGTCTAAATGTATTTTTACTGTCTAAATATATGTATTCAGCAAGTGTAAACATGCACGGTGCTATCACAGCGAATGCGAGGCTGAGACTGAAGCTTTACCCTTTGTTTCCGCTGAGACATGCGGCATGACTCATTTCCCCTCGCCTACAAGTTATCTTTGGTCGGCGTTCACGGTTTGACTTCTGAGATTCAGATTGAGTTCTTGCTAATCTTTTTTCGAACTGGTTGGTTCGACTTTTAAGAAATTCGAGTTCTAATGAGTTCGAGAACTGAGGTACCACTGTATAATGTATTCATAGAAGATTATATACAGCGGCTATAAATATTTATAAAAAGGCATAACATATTATAGCCATGATTATTATGCGTTATGAATGCTCTATAAAGCTCTCATCCATGATGCAAACTGATTTTCGTAGAACCACCCATGTGCATGAAATTCCGTATCAATATTAGCATCGCACATCGTGCAAGCGAGTACAGCGAGTACAAGGAGTGCGGGACCGTGGTGCAGTGAGTACCGCTGTCACCCAGCACCGCCGCTTTGTGTGGCAGGCTTTTTGTTGGATCCTGTGGTTTCCTTCCAACGTCCAAAAACAGGTGCCATAGAATGAAAGTCTTACTCGTCATAGTTAGAAAGAGGTCGCTTGTTACATGGAGATCACATACCGTGAATCTCAAACAGTGCTGAACAGGTGTTATGCCGAAAAAGGCATCCCTGCCGTAGAATGCATGCCTGTCTCTAAATGACCGATTGGTTGCTGATCTGAAACGAGTTGAGCTACTTTGTCGAGATAGGCTACCGTAGTGCTAATCGATAGCTTTAACCCTAACCCCCAAAATACCCCTAAAACCCTAAACCCTAACCCTTCCTCCAAAAAAACCCTAACCCCCCAAAAAAACCTTAAAGTTTAACTCGTCAGAACACCGGCATGCATTCTACTGCAGGGATTCGTTTTTCGCCATAACACCTGATTTCAAATGTAATTGCTGATTAAGTGAAAGAAGGAAGTAAAACGGGCAGTTTCGAAATTCATGGACTGTTACGTAACGGTATTAACGACGACCCTAAACGTAATTTAAATGAGCTAAATTGACATGTGCACAACAACGAAAATGTCAGGCTGTATGCATAAGTGTGTCGTTTGAGGCTATATTACCCTTCCCGAGGTACCGAACAGCAGGCTGATGTGCATCTTTAATAGGTCAGGGGATCGTTTCCCCAGAGATGCCGTAGCAACTTGCATAGTTGGAACTGTTCAGTTGTTGTTAGAAATCACGCTTTTAGGAAAATACCCCAGGTTAGCAGGGGAGTAGTAAACGACATTACAAAGTCTGTGATACTGACACCGACAAGACGCTTCCCGTAGACGGATTTTGGTTAGCGAAACAAATCTCTAACCGAGACTGCAGTAAACAACTGAAAGTAGAAACCCAAATTCATCACAAACAACGCATTTACAAGCTGCTCAGCTTGCTGTTTGAGGTTCTTAATAAAGCTTTCAAGCCGAAACTAGCATTGTAAAATCATTTGTTGCGTGAGACAAAAAAAAATATTTCAATGTTTTTGTTACAATGCTGAAAAGTGTCCGTTGCGCTTAGGCTGAAGTGGGGCTATTACAGTTACGTGCGGTAAATTGTTCCAGGAAACAAAACGTACCACTCAGAAGCCTGCATTTGCAATCTCTGGCTGTTCATCGGCATCCGATTCCCTCTCCGATACAGGCTCAAACACATACGGCAGGGTGCCTAAACGCTCCATGTTTCACCTGCGCTGATGTTTGTTGGTTCCAGGTGGGCCAGTGCGCCATTGTAAACCAGCCAATCAGAGCGGAGCTCGTGAACATATTAATGAGCCCGCCCAATAAGGGAAAACAGCCCTTAAACTGGCCTGTAAAACCACTAGACATTTTTCCACCAAACCAAGTATACATGTAGACACCAGAGGACAGTTTGAACAAAAAGTATTCTGTGACACCTTTAAGTGAATTGAAGTGGCTAAACTGAGCGTATGTGCCACTGACTGAACAGTATAGGCTTTAAAAGGACCGCACACAGGTAACCGCACTGACAAACACTGCCCACTGTGCGGCCGTCCGGACCGCTCCAGCCCAGCACGGCGGGCGGGCGTCGATATGCCGAGCGGCTCATTTTCATGTCCCAGCATTCCGCACTGCTGAACTGTAAATAGCCCCTGTCTGTGTCATGTATGTATTGTAATGTGGCTCGTCCTGTCAGTTGCGTGTTCTAGTGTCCTGTTTAGATTTGTGCTCGATCCCCTTGTGTTTAGCAGTATATAGTCCCCATTGTGCGTGTGCTTTGCCGCCTACTGTGTCACCTCCACGCGTTTCCGCTTCACGTCGGTCCGTGTTATTATGCGTTAAGTTCGGAACTTTTAAAGTACTTTAAAAGAGCAACCTGTCAGTCTGCGCCTCTTCCTCTTTATTCTCCGCTGCCATCACGATTCCTCGGTCTGCACGGCGCCAGAATGGCGTCAGAAGTGGGATGTCAGAAGCGGCCCCACTGGCGCTGCTGTAGTGGATGCATCGGAAAATCTTCAAGCAAGTGCCCTCCAGCCTGGCAGACCTGCAGGCATCGGTGAAGCGGCGAAATGAGACAGGCATCGGCTCCGGGGAGAAGACGCCGCGGACTGAGAAGCTCGTTTGTTGGCGCTCTGGCATTAAGGGGCACCGGCTGCGATGTTGCCCACAAGCCTCCCCCAAGCTGATAAGTTAATAGATGTGTTTAGTAATACTTTATTTTCTCTTCTATATAGTGTTCAAGGGGCGTTAATGTAATTAGAATGGTATGAAATTGGGATTAAGACACAGATGATTTTTGCTGAAATCAAATTTTCAGAGTATCTCATTTTAACAATACTCATCTTATTGTATTATATTACTGTTTTATACAATATGATTATTGTATTAGGTCTATATATAAGCGATTATTCGATAAATCGTCAGATTAGTCGGTAGATTATTGATATAATCGATAGTCACTAATAGAGACTAATTGCAGTTTGGTAGGTTTTCTCATGGGTGTATGAAAATAACGTTTATTATAACGTAATCCCTGTGAATTCCTATTCTCATAATTCATAATTAAACGGAAATGAAAGTCGTAGTGTTATAACTAGCAGGTAAATTTAAAGTTTACAGGTAAAATGATCCTAGGTATGTTCGTATGTATATTTAGAAAGCTACATACTCAACGCCAATTTGCCCATGAGTTATCAAGCTATATAATATTGTCATCGTTGGTTTGGTTGAAAGCAATGCATTTCCATTAGCTGCTTATATCAAAACAGTCACGGTGATCGTGAACTTGAACAATAGTGAGTTATGGGATGGAACGGTGTCTGGTTCATTTTAATTAGTCGGTTTCCTTGTCTGTGATAGGAGACACATGCAAACCGTCGGCAATTGCACGATATGAGCACTAGATGGCACAATCAGACTTTTGGTGGTTGAAGTCAATGGATGGATAGTTTAGAATAGCGCTGAAAAATCAATCGTGTTCGCGAGTCAAACTGCTTCTCTTCTGGCAAATGCGAAATTTCAGCCAACGCCCCAGTCGGCGTTAAACAGACGCTTGAATCTACATCCATCATAATACGCGCATTTTATTGCAGATCGGGGAGTATGACTATATAAAACGGAAATTTATTTCCTTCCGCAAATACAGGTTTCCTTAATATTAATAATTTAGCGACGTTTGCAGATTTTTTTCTGTTAACCTAACACATTTTTTTACTAGTTGAGAGCCCAGTGCTAGTATTTTTTCCTTATGGATTTCATTCCGCAATGGAATAACCACTGTTGATCAGTACCATCTTTAGTCTATATGTAATTCTCTCCAAACGAACGTGTTAATTTTACCGGATTAATCATAGATCCATAAAATACTGATGTTCTGAAGTTATTTTTTAACGCGGACAAGTTGCGGTATCGTGCAAAGCGACGGAGCCCGCGGGCTGATGGAGCTCCCGACCGGCGGAGGTGCGCCGTGGAGAGTGAGGAGACCAATCAGGGCCGGTGGGAGTATTTTGTGATTCACTTGCGCGCTCCTGCTCCGTAAGCGCTGTTCCTTTCAGCACTGACTGGAGCGGAGTTCAGGACCGATAGCAGCGTGGCTCAACCTTCAGGACCGCAGGTACTACCTTAGTGCATCTTGTGTTTTTGTTTTTCATTCTTTATTCTTATTGATGTGATGGTATGAGTCGGTTTTTGCAGGTGGTGGTGGGGGAGTTTCCCATTTCGATTAATCTGCATATGTCTGTCGTGGCCCGTCTACTTGTGCACCACACGACGCTCTCAACTTTAAAATCATAAGGAAATGCTTTCTGCCGAATTTATCCAACACTTGGCAGTTAAAGAGTGACAAAACAAGAGAGAAAATCTTAATGGTCGCCACGGTGGGCTTAAATGTTTAGTACTGTAGTTTTATAGTCTGTCTACATCACAGGGGAAAGTGCTGAGCTCCACAAGGAAGTTCCCTCATATAAAAGCGAAGGAACGCGCTCAAATTGGGAATTTTTACAAGCGCCCCTTTAAACCGCTTTTATTTTTTTTTAAACGCACCCAATTAAGCATTCGTAAAAGAATAGCTCTTCTTTACGTATTTAAACTGTATCTAAATAATGTACTTAATATATAATTTGATACTTTATATATTATCAAATGCCATGTTTGTCTTTATTCTGCTTTAGTATTTTACCTACATGTTACCAAAACGTTAAAAATAAATTAAACAACTTAAGCGAATCTTGCAATATATTAAAATGCTTTCTTGATATCGTACCTGCGCAAATCTTAAAGACGTAGTCCTCAGTATGAGCGGCAAACCAGACTCGTCAAAATAAGGTCGTGGCTGTGTGTTATTATGAGGCTGCCGATGGTTTTAATTAGGCGGTTGTATTCCTGTGCATGGGCGGCAGTGGCATCCTTGGATCCATTTATCACTGAGAAGTACCGGGCATTTCACAGAGGGATACAACATATTGCAGGGGAGTTTGGTACCGCGCAGCTGTTCATTAGCAGGCGCGATATCATGCCTTTTGTGAGCATTTATAACAGATTTATCAACTACAGTTATAAATATCTGTGCCTCTGCGATCTGCAACATGTAGCGCAATGTCGTATTTAACAGTTGCGAAAGCCTGGGGGGCTTGGGGGTAGGGGGAGGGGGTGGGGAGCGAGTTTTCCCACAGTGCAGAGAGCCGAAATAAATCAGTTTCTGAAAAGAGCAAGATTATCCCCCGAGAGCTGTTACTTTGCGGACAAATAATAGAATCAACAGCAGAAGATGAAACAGCTTGACACTTTCCAATTCGCGTAAATTAAAAAGAGAGATGGGTCTGACCTCCAGTGCTGAAGTAATACAGCGCTCTGTCAGAGATCTGTCGTGGAGCCTGCCTTAAATTTCACCGTTACCCCGGTCAGTTTGTATAGTAAAGGTTACCAAATTTAACAATATGATACATGTGTGTTGTGTCTATCTTAAAAAATAGCATAATAAGTTTAAAAGATTACAATATTTAAAAATATAAAATGCTTCGTGAAATTTAAACGACTAAATACGGTCCGTCAAATATACGTAGAACGTTTTATTTTTACCTTAATGGGAATTCATTAAAATCGCCCTGAAAGTGTGATATTGTGAAAATGGCAAACCGAATTAATGAGATTTCCCGCAAACGACATTTAATATGAAAAACTACATAATATACATGTTGATGATCGCCTAACGTGAACCCGGCGCTTGGTGCAGGATGCACGGGCAGTGCGGTGCTGATTTATCGGGGAGAGACCCTTGGGGTGGCGCTGGAGCGCGCCTGCAATGGCGCGCGTCGCCGTCGTCAATGGTGTCGTCGTGGGTGCGCGGTTTCACCGCGAATGACAACTTCGGCAGTCAGCGGTGGCGTTTGGCTGAGCTGTCCCCGCAGCAAGACCTCTCTTATATGCGCTGTTATAAATGGGAATATTGCTTCGGATATGGTTTCTATGCGTTTCTGTTTATTTATGTAGGCTATATATTTATATTTTTGTAGTGATGTAATGAGGTTCCTTAAACGCCCATCGATCTGGCTCGTGGTGAAGGCGTTATTTTTTTAGGGTACCAGTTTATGTTCATGTGTAAATTTGTATTTAGTGGTCTTTCCCGCTGCACTATTCATAGACACAAACCCTGTTCGCAGTACCGCGGAATCACCGCTTCTTAGTTCAGTTGGAAAACTAGCACATTTTATGAAAAACTGGCATGCTGCATAATCGCCCTTTTGGAGTAGGTAAGAAAGAAAAATTCCATCATAGGCTGCCTAGCAGACTCCTAAAATAATAAGGGTATTGCCGCATGTGTTAAAACAACAGTAAATTGCCTTGTTTTTTTTTTTTTTTTGGACGAAGGCAGCTGCTGGACTCGCGTCTCGGTACCCTGGCGAGCGGGGGCTGCCAGACCGCCAGGTGCACTTTGAATTGGACGTTTCCCAACCGGAGGTTCCTCGCGATCTGGCTGTTCTTGGCACCGCCTTAATAAACTTCCGAGCGGCGCCCTAAAGCGTTCTTGGATAGGCGTAGGAAACTTTGTGCACTGTCCGGGTCTTTAAGTTTAGAATCACTCTGAAAATATCTACAACGTCTAAAAAAGTCAACATATTTTGTCAAATAACAGCAAATAGTTTTAAAAAGCCACCGAAAAGTACCCGTATTTCGTCCGACCAAGAGATGTCTAGAACTTGACATCTGGAAGAACAATGACAAATATCTAAATTGTGCAGGTCAGCACGCTGTTATTCTCAAACGTTATTTTATCTGTGAATTAATGTCCCTGTGGGATTTAAGGAAGGTTTTATAGGATCAGTCAGTATAAACAGGAATCTTAATAATGATCTATTCAAATTAGCTGTACCTTTATCCGGAGACAGAGAAAAACACAGTGGGTGGCTATTTTAAATGGCAATCTTCACTTACACGCGTGAATGAACGTTTTGGTTCGAAAGGTGCTTTTGTAGTGTAGTCTGAGGGACGTTTCGATTTACACCAGTAGGAAGTGCAGCGTATCAGGAACAAAAGACCGTGACATGAAGAGCACACCTTGACAAACCGCGATGATAAATGTCACGGCTGTTGGAACTCGGGAACAGGGATGAGGAGGAGTGTGTGTGGAGATTACCTGTTAGCTGACACCTCCTGCCTCGTGGCTTATGGCTTGAGACCGGGGGCTGTGTGTGGCTCTAGTGTCCCCCGCCACATGTTTGCTGGGGTTTTCTCCAGGTGCTCAAGGTAGTGCTGGTAAATTGGCCTTAGAAAGGCAGATGGCCAGCAGGCCGTTGTCTCACCAAGACTGTGACCAGTGCTTAATGGAATGGCCCCAGTGGGCCAGGAATCTAACATGGGTAAGTAGCTACAGAAAATGGATGCATCAGCACTGTGTTGGCAGTATATTATGGGGATATTACAGACGCTCCTCTACTTACGAATGGCATACGTTCCGAATGGCCGTTCGTACAGTAACTTGAAATATTTGTAAGTTGTTATTCAACATAAGGGTATAATATAATTAAGGGTATACGCAAGTACAAAGACCTAGGATGCTGGGAGTACGCACGCTACGCTGCTGCACGGCGGGAGTAGCGGCCAGAAGTCATAGTACCCGGAATTGGCGCACAGAAGAAAAAATTGATGTTGCGGACAGGAAACGGGAGCCCAATGAACGCAATTTGGACTTACAGTCCTCTTCGTTCGTATGTCTGAAAGTTCGTAACTTGAAAGTTCGTAAGTAGAGGAGCGTCTGTATTGTATTCTTCCTGAGCATTGGGCTTTGTGTTTTTTTGGGTCAGACTTATGATAACCTTACATGTTTTTTGAAGTCGGGCACTCATAGAAGCTCCTTTGTTGATTTGTTGATGTTCTTTTTTGGGTGAGTATGTCTGTATAGGCTCTTGCTGTCTAGAGTAGAGGAAACAACGCAGTTGCTTTTGTCTGCTTCCGGTCAGGATCTCTAGGAAGTGACATTTCGGGTTGCATCAGAAGCCAGCCCTGCACTTAGGCATCTGTGTCTGTCCCTCCCAGGTCTCCACTTCTGCTCTCCTCCTTCTTGAAATGCGAGCCACGTGCGGCTGGGATGTTATAAAGGTCCAGACTCACCCTCCCAGGAGCTCGGAGCACGCGGCTGGATGCTGATGTAGAGTGAGGCACTGATGGTGCCACTTGCGACCTACGTCCACCAGCGGACCGTCGCCTGCTGCTCTTACCCCGCGTCACTTCGAGACCCCACCCCTGCCCCCGAGTTTACATCCTGCCCCCTGTCGCCATGGCGAGGGCCTCCAAACGCAGATCCGTATCCTGCCAGTGTTTCTTCCTGCTGACAGCCAAGTGTTGCTGGCTTCTGACCTCCATGCAGAAGACAGAAGCCCAGGAGCATGCCCACTCCATCCGGCTGGACGGCGACATCGTCCTCGGTGGCCTGTTCCCGGTTCATGCCCGCGGCGACCGTGGTGTGCCATGTGGTGAGCTCAAGAAGGAGAAGGGCATCCACCGGCTGGAAGCCATGCTCTTTGCCGTCGACCAGATCAACAAGGATCCAGATTTGCTGCCCAACGTGACGCTGGGGGCCCGCGTCCTGGACACCTGCTCGCGGGACACCTATGCCCTGGAGCAGTCGCTCACCTTCGTGCAGGCGCTCATCGAGAAGGACGCCACTGACGTCCGCTGTGCCAATGGTGACCCACCCATCTTCGCCAAGCCAGACAAGATCGTGGGCGTCATCGGGGCTTCTGCCAGCTCTGTGTCTATCATGGTCGCCAACATCCTCCGGCTCTTCAAGGTGAGTCTCCTTTCTGTTCCCCTGCCTTGTCATTCCCTGATCCGAATGGTCTTGATTCCTGTGCTGCAGGGCAGCAGCATCAAGAAGGAACCCAGGGGACCAGGCAGGACGTTTCAGGCACACGGTTCTGCTTCCTGTGTCGCCATCAAGCCCCCTGTATGTTTTTACTCTAACACCACAGGGCTGTTTCTAAAAATAAGTGTGTCAGCCAGCATTCTGGGAGACGGAAACTCAGTGTCTGGCTCTGAGGGGTTCGAGTGGCAGCATTTTGACCTGCACGCTGTTTGGTGTTGGATCAGATTAAGTTCAGCTGTGACAACCAGTTAGAGAAGCCCTATTAAAAACACGTCTCCCTTCAGCTGAGGCCGGGTGGCCTTCACTATCAGCCCTGTGAGTGCCAAAGGTGCGATCTGCATTTTAATTAGATGGGCCGTGCACAACTTGCTCGACGCTCTGGTGGACATCAAGCGGTGTCACACACACATTTCACGTGCGTTTATTAGCCGCATGGGCTGTTGATATGCTCTTTTCTGTTTTTTTTTAGTTAAATGTTTTCCATAACGTTCCCCTGCAGGTTGAGTTCAAATTTGCAACAGGAGCTTTTCAACCTGCAAGGTTCCTGCTCCATTTGTTACTCACAAGCCTGGTGAGGAATTAGAACAATTAAGTAATTTACTCTCAGGAAATGAGATTGCATTTGATTACAGTCAGGTCCTTATTTACTGTTATGTCGCATTAATATTTAAACATCTGTTAGAAATCTGATAGATGGATGCTTGTGCTGGTAACTGAATACAGGCCTCCACAGATGCCTCCCTGCGTGTGGAGCTCATTAAGGCCAGCAGACATGTGAGTGGGAAAGATGATGCCAAAAATCCACATGGGAACAAGCCTGGAGCTGGTTGAAAATCATCACTGTGGCATTGGTGTGGCCCCTGTGGGTGTGGCCCCTGTGGGTGTGGCCTAGGATGTGGGAACAGTAGTATGGTGAAGGCCACACATTCAGTTGGTGGTGCACCGATGTGGAAATTTTGGCCTATAGCAATAGCAGATATTTTTGTCTAATATTGGCCGATACCGGTAAGTGGGTCACCTCTGAGCTCCAAAGACCTGTAGTGAGACCGATGGTGACATTACTTCTTAACATGAATCTGTTAAGACCAACCACGTGATATAATGCAATGAGTGATGCGTCAGCAAAGTACTGCCAATTTGGGAGATTTCAAAGAGCTTCCAAGAGGTAAATAAACCCAACACTACGGAAAATGGCTTATTGTACAAGGCATCTCCATTATTTTAGTGGCTGTGTGTTTTGGTCTAGTGTTGCTGACTTCGAGTATTAACCAAGGTATAAATATCAGCTGGCAGTATCGATCAACATTAGCGCATTGACTGATGCCGATGTCTTTATTTTAAATAAACATGGACCGACACCAATATGTTAACCAATATATCATGCATGCTTCCCCAAAGTTCTACATGTCGGTAGGTATGTAGTACAAGGTATGTAGATGTCCTAAAAGAATCTCAGCTCAGAAAGAGCTTTTGATAGTGTTTCCGCAGCCCTTTGGTTTGTCGGTCCTTACCCTTGTAAACCATTGGACAACTGAGTCTATATGATACTGCTTTACCTTTGGACTATGGAGTCCAGATAACTTCTGTGTTCTTCCTCATACACTATATCTGTTCTGTGTCCATCCTCAATCTCAGTCTTATCTAACATACACTATATCTGTTCTGTGTCCATCCTCAATCTCAGTCTTATCTAACATACACTATATCTGTTCTGTGTCCATCCTCAATCTCAGTCTTATCTAACATACACTATATCTGTTCTGTGTCCATCCTCAATCTCAGTCTTCTCTAACATACACTGTGTCTGTTCTGTGTCCATCCTCAATCTCAGTCTTATCTAACATACACTGTGTCTGTTCTGTGTCCATCCTCAATCTCAGTCTTCTCTAACATACACTGTGTCTGTTCTGTGTCCATCTAGAGCCATTTCACTGTGTGGTTTAGGGGGCCGATATTTCCCTGTCTTTCCTTATACCGATGCAAACAGTATTATCTTGGTTTATTGTGCATTTCTTATATTTCATGTTGCTCAGCTCACAGTCATATGTGGCAGAAACTCCACTGCAGGTATTGGGCACCAGTCAGAGCAGTGAAGCGAGTTTATAAAAGTGTGATGAGGAAATGACCCAAGAAATGTCTTTCGAGCCAGTCCAACATTTCATGGTGCTTGAGTTTGTTGTTTTGAATTGTATGCGTCCGCTGTCTCAGGTGCACCGGGGTAGAAAGGACAGTCACCGCTTATTTTTTTAACTATCAGGACCACAGATTGAATATTTGTTTCTTTTTTCTTTAAAATGTTACTGTTCTGGTGTTTGCCTCATAAATATTCATGAGCAAGCGAGGTTCGGCGTGTTTTAATACTGAGTGATTGGTGGGTACAGAAGCGTATTGATTGTGATTGGAATCACCACCCAGAAAGGTATTACTTCACCGATGATGAATATTCATAAGCACCTGCCTTCACAGCAAATCTCCAAGTTTAGCAGTGTGAGGCTGTCACTTTGAAGGCAAAGAATGCAGCTATAGATACAGCATAGTTAGATTAGGCTGGCAGGAACCTGCATAAATAGCAAGGTGGTATAAACAGGACACATTTTGGACATTTTGTGGTCCATCGCCTGTCCACATGCTACCATTGGTTGCAAAGTAAACCAATTACTTGGTACTGTCCTCTACTAGAGCAGGAACGTAACAGGTATTATTTAATTAAACTTTCCTAAACTCACTCAGTATTTTGTTGTTTTTGAGTTATTATTTAAAGGCTTCCTCATCATATGTTACAGTGTTGGCAACCAAACCCCATTCAGTCCTCATGTAATCCACTGAAGAACTTCCATTAAATCTCCAAAAATCCACTTAAAGGATCTCAGAAATATATCCCCTGAACTGAGTGAGCCTTGGGCATTTCCTCTTAGTTCAGGTGTAATATTATTGTCTTTTTCGATGCTCTTCGAGTTTCGTGTCCTGGAAGTCGCAGAGCTTGGCATTCACATGAAGATGGGAAGATGGGAAGATGGGAACTCCAGTTCAGCAGCTGATAGGAGGGCTCCTCAGAACAAACGTCAATTTACTTGACGCTCGTCCTCTGCAGTGACATGCCCCCCCCCAGTGCTGTTACCTCTGTTAATTTATCTGGAAAAATGCTCCACTGTGCTGCAGTCAGTGATCAGACTGCATTTAGCTAATTAACAAAGATTAAGCCGTTCATTATAAGATTAGCATCCCTGAAAAAAACATGCATTATTTTTTTTTTCTGAAATAAACACATGTTTAATTTCATGTAATTTAATTAATCCTGTAAGTTGTAGTTTTTTCTTTGGATATTCACCTCTGGCCACATTCAGCTTTGGGGTTAGATATGAAGGTTTTTTTTTTATTAAATCTTTTATTTCATTTTTCTTTTTGGTTTCCAGTCCTGTCTTCCTTAGCTCTTAGACATTTCCAGAATAGAATGTGGGCAGAATGTAAGTCACTTTGTTGTAAAGTCACATGTCACATGACTTGTTAAAGAGCCCTCTGATTGGGGGAGCCGCACTCTCAGCAACCTGGGGGAGGCTGAGAAAACCAAGGTGACTTAACACTGCTCCCCCGTGTGGTGACAGAAGGCATGTCGCGCCATGAAGGCAGGGGGTGTCATGGCACCTCTACTGGCTGAAGCATTCAGCGTGTGATCTCGCATGTCTGATCAGATCGAGTGGACGCCTCTGTCTTGCCTTGGGTTGAAGGAGGGGAGTAGAGGAAAGGCTTGTTTGGAAGCCCTACTGGAGGGACTTTGGTAGGGGGCAGGTGGTGAGGCACAGTCGACTCCCGATGTCCGGGCGTCCGGTGGCCAGAGAGCGGTGCTCTTTGCTGTGCGTGTGTAGCGTAGCGTGACTGCTGGAAGTGACCTGTGGCGTGCTCCTACTGTTGCTCATCATGACTCATAAGCGGGGCAGGGAGGCGTGAAGGTGTGGAGACAAGCCCCCCTCCCCATCCTGCTGTTGCCCGCCCCCCCCCCCAGCTAAATAATCCATGGACAGTGATTAAAAAAACATGCTTATATCACCATTAAAAGAGAGCGTGTTCTTCTTGGGTAGCTGGATAGCGGGCAAATCAAAGTTATGACAGCAGACAGTATTAATAATAACTGCACCGTAATAACTCTACCGGTAACATAAATTACGTTTAATGCACGATTTAATAGAGATTGCTGACTATAGTAATGCCTTTCTTATTAAGCTATAATGAGAAAACATATTTATGTTTAGTAGGTGCTTCTTTGTGCTTTTTGGTGCTTTTCGAAGAGCAGGCACAGGCTGGGTGAGGTGGTCAGTGGCATTAAAGTATATTGCTGTTTGGAATCGTGGTGTGGACTCGCACCGAAGCTGTAATTTCACACCCACATGGCATGAACATTTAGGCGGCTAATTTTTGGCATCACCACCGTACAGCACAAGCAGAGATCACACAAACAGGTGCACCCCGCAAAAGCCACTGTTTGTTTTTCCTGCCCTTATTCTCCTGCTTTTTTCTCATGAATACCTACATCTCTGATGGCCCCCAAGGTCTGCAGTTGTTTTTGTGGGTATATTATCAGTAAAGTGAAATAAGCAGTAGATGGAAGGAGATAAATTCATCACATTGACTAGCAGTTCGAGCCTTAGAAAAAGATCCCCTCTGGTTTTTATATCTTCACTTTGACTTGGAATTGGTTCCATACACAGCATACTGACCAACTTCATTAGTCTTTTGTGCGAGCTGCTGAGCACCAAATGATGTGAGTGATATATTGTGAGTGATGTCATATAGGTACTATGTGATGTAATATGCATACGGTGTGATGTCATATACATGATCTGTGATGTGGTGAATGTTCTGAATAATGTAGGTAGTGTGTGATATCGTTTCTGTCTGATGGTGTGAGTACTGAGTGACCTAAAGGTTCT